CGATGAGCTGATGGGATCGTGCAAAACGAGTTGTTTGAAGCAGCCAACTTTGGATAGGTCGGATAGGTACATGGAGACTCAGCGAAAATGTCGACTGTGGGACCTCCTTTTGAAATCTCCCAGTGAACACAACAAGATCCAAAAAGTAAGCCCGAAAGCTATCGCGGGGCTCGGTGCTTACACCTGTAGGCATGCTTCACAACAGATGTTCAGAATTCTCCAGGAGTTGAATTGGCCATGACTAGCCTTACCAGCCAAGAAAAGTTCACTTTGGATGGATCTTCATCTATCATATTTGAGTAGTATGAATTTCTGCTCTCATCATATAATCAGCTTCTATATATATATATTCGAATAATATAACGATCCGATCTGTTATATACATATATATATATAGCTGAATACATGTACCATATATAGTGTAATTGCACACCATGCCAGATATTCAATTCATATGTGTTCGCATATATCTGCGAAATAATTGTGAGTTTATTGTACTCTCTATATATCCGTTGTTTGAGAGCCATTCGCTTTGGCACAACGGGGCACCCGGTTGTGCTGAGTACGCTGCAGTTGGAGCAATCGCCGCGAGTTTTTGAAACACCAGGGATCAGCATGGGCGAACGCGATTTAATGGCTATGAAATAGAATATAAACCATAATCGTTCATTATTATAGGATATTATATCATATCTCCGATAAATCCATCAAGATTTAATATAGTGGAGATGTCATATCTCCGATAAATCCATCAAGATTTAATATAGTGGAGATGGGACTGCCCTCAACTGGGGTGCCCCAAGATGGTCATTTTGTTTTTTCGATGGAGCCAAGCGACTGTCATGGCGAATGTTACCTGGCAACACAAAAAAACATGGCAAAAACATAATCCATGTTAGCAAAGCAATGTTGGCTGAATAGGTGATTTATCCCAGGATTTAAAGGTTTCAACCATATCCAAGGTGGTGCAGGATTGCCATCAACAGTATGGAATGATTTTTTCAGCTGCCTTCTCCAGCGAAAAAGTCCTCCCGGGCACCCGGACGTTTTCAGCTCCCAAACGCGAATCTCCTGCATGGGACTTCACGTTGAATAGATCCAGCAACATCTTCCCCCCAAAAAAAAGTTGAAAATGGAATATGAATGAGTCTACAATCGCTTTTTACCTAGCTAACTAACCAACCAACCAACTAAGCAACTGACTATATTAAATCCCTTCCTCCATTCGTATTTCGGGCCTTGTTTCGTAGGGGATTTACACGTATTTGGGGCAATAGGAGAGGGGTGGGGTTAGATCCAATACTGAACAGTTGGATCCATTTCGGGCTTATTTTGAAAGTTGATTGGGGCTATTGAAATCAGGGGCAAAGGATTAACTATGAATGTTTATCATTCTAAAATTCTGGTCTGAATCTAAAAAATAGTATAATCATTATGAAAACATACCTTGTCTTAATCATACCAGAATCATACCAAAATCAGACCAACCTGGTTTATCCATGGCTTATCAAGAGAATGGTGAGATTGAAAAAAAATGTATATGAAACCAGAATCCCACCAAATTCATTCTTTACATTTCCACACTATAATCCCAGCATAATGGTGTGGGAAACCACTGAATTATAGTTGTATAATGGTGTATAATCCCACAGAAAATTCATGATACAATAGCATCACAGCCGCTATTGACAGAGCCTACCCAAGATCATCCCACGAACCCCAAGTGTGCAGAAACCAGAGATTACCCAGGATACTCCAACAAATAGGGGACCTCATCAAGGTTACTTTACAAGAAATGTTCTGAATCAACTCTCCAATAAATCAATAATGAATGATTCAACAAAATCATCAATTTTCCTCCTCAACTGTTAATCAATTAATTTAGTAAAGCAAGGTCAGAAAAAACCACCCATATGGATTGATGGTTTATACCACCAAAAATAAGGTAGAATTGGGGATAACAGATCCTTTTTTGCATCACACTAACATTGTTAGATGATCCCACTACATCAAATCACCAACAAATCATCACCACAAAAATCACCACCTATTTCCCACTACATCGGAGTAGCCTCTGGTAAACGTTTAGATAACAAACTGGAAAATCACCATTTTATAGCTGGCGAAATCAACGAACTTTCTATGGCCATGTTCAATTTTTGTTGATTTATCCATGAAAAAAATGGTGGATCTTTCCAGTTCGTTATTTAGACCTTTACCAGAAGCTACCAAACTATTTGGGTATGTCTGAAAATGGGGTATACCCCCAATGAAATAGCCATTTTTTTAAACATGTTTTTTTGATCAGCAAAACCATAGCAAAACCATTGGGTGTAGGGCAGTGTAGGGGTACATCAGCAAAACTATTTTCAGACAAACCCATTTCAATAGCAAACTCTTAGAAAAACTAACAGAACTATGGGAAATCACCATTTTTTTATTGGTAAATCAACTATAAATGACCATTTTCAATAGCAAACTGTGGTAAACTACCAGACTCCCAGCAGCTCCCAGATTTGTCGGGTCCCCTTCAGCTCCACTGGAGACCACGAAGCGAACGTTGCTGGCTAACTTCACCTCATGGCCAGATGCGAACATTGAATGGTGATGATTAATGTTGGTTAATAGGGGTGCAATGATATTGACTTAACCACTCTTAATGGTTCATAATGATTCATAGTGGTTAATAGTAGTGAATAGTGGTGAGTAGTGGTGATTCATGGTTATAATAATCGTTAATAATGGCTAATATAATCTAATATAGGTTAAACAAATACTTCCTTATAGGTTATAGGTCATATCCTCTTTTTTGTGCGAACCATAGGGTAATAAAACCATCTGGTCATTAATTCTGGCCACTATTAATGGTTAATGGTCAATTGACCTCTTTGTAACGGCTAATCATGGTTAATAATGGTTAACAATGGTTAATGTTGGTTAATAATTGCTAATTATATAATAATGGTAATGGTCAACGATTATTCTATAAGCATAATGATTATTGACCACTATTGACCAATGTTAAGCAATATTCACATATATTAACCATTATCAACCTAGGCCAGTTACCCTGGGGTAAACAAAGATGTGGAAAACCCATGGGGAAATCCGTTCGGAACATTATCTACATTCATGGTGGGTATTCGACATCTATGTAAACGTTTACAGGATGGTAAATAGAACCTTTCGGATAGCTATCTCTGTATATATATAACTATATTATATGTACACAGGCACACACACACACGTCGCCATTTCTTTGCATCAAATACGTTATTTCTTGTAAAATACATATACATATATACATATATACATATATACATATATACATATATACATACATACATACATACATATATACATATATACATATATACATATATACATATATACATATATACATATATACATATATACATATAGACATATAGACATATATACATATATACATATAGACATATATACATATAGACATATAGACATATATACATATAGACATATATACATATATACATATATACATATATACATATATACATATTTACATAGGATGAACGATAGACTGTTTAATATATACATGTACTAAAAAAAACTGTTGCAATCGATTATGGGGTAGCTGACTTTGATTTTGGGGACATCACTGTCAGGTACTCCAATCCTTCCCATAATTAAAACCGCCTGGGGAGCGAAACTGAAAGCAGCACTTGGACCAAAACCGTGCCAAGTTAATCAACAAGATCAACATACGAACGTTAATCAACATGTGCTCGCAGAAAAGGTTCTTAAAAATTCTAGTAACTAGTAAGAATCAAGTTTCCTCACTAAGAAATAAGTTGTCCAACCATGTCCAATCTCTAGCGTCACCCGATACAAAAATCAATTACAGTAAGATGCGCTTGGCGAGGAAGTTCCCCGATAAGCGCCTTTTTTAAATTTATATCCAACCAAGGTCAAGCACAATGTGCTGCCCGAAGAGATTCCCTAATCAGGACCAAACTACCCACTAAAAAACTTTACGTATATGTTCAAAATCATTTGTATAATGTTTTAGCAACCTAATCCAAGCCTCAAACACATGGCCTGTTTTTGTTGTTGGGGTCCAAGACCACCATTTCAATCCAGTTCACCATTTAAGGCCAAACCTTGAAAATAATGGAGGACAAACCTTGAAAATTGTGAAAACAACTGCTGGCAAATAGTTTCTATTCCAGGAAAAACAATAAAAGCGTGAAGGGGTGAAAGGGAATGAGCCATTATATAAATCAAATTTGAATTTGAATGACCAATGACCCATGATCTAGATCCTGAGACCCCAATTCGATTGCAAAAGGTCTTAAACTAAAATATAGTATATATGTATATTATTAGTAGTAGCATTATTACTATTGTTACTACTATTGTTCTATTGTTATTACTATTGTTATTATCAGTATTATCATTATTATCATTATTATCATTATTACCATTATTATCATTATTATCATTATTATAATTATTATTCTCACTATTATTATCATTATTATTATCATTATTATTATCATTATTATTATCATTATCATTGTTGCTGTTAATTGGCATTGGCGGTTGGCATCTGTATCACCTGGAAAAAAGTGAATCCAGCCCAGCGGTAACTTCTTCGATAGTTATGCAGCACATGATTTGGGGTGTTGAATGTTAAGCATCTTCTCAGGAAATAGAGTGATCCATATTATGGATCAAGCTCACGATTGAATCATGTATGCGCACTGCTTAAATATCAATCTTACATGTTCGATGCTTCAGCTTCAGCTTCTGATTATCATTGATATTCTTCATTATAAATTTCTACTAGTGTTGTCTGCTTGGTGGTGCAATAACCATCTTGAAAAATATGAGTTCGTCAATGGCAAGGATGACATCCCATATGAAATGGAAAATAAAAGCCATGTTTGAAACATCCAAGCAGTTGTTTTATGCTGCATAAAGTTACGTCACTGCTGAAACGGATGACCAATCATCCA